GAATGACAGTTCTTGACATTGACAGGAAGTTTGGTGTTAGAAAAGATGTCCTTTTTTTTTTTTTAATGTGAAACGCTTTTACAGAACTTTCACTTAAAAATGCAATTGTTTTAGAAAAAAAAAAAGCTACCAGCTGTTGCAACATTTGCTGCCCCATGTCAAATTTTGGTTTTAATATCCCCAGCTCCTCCCCAGGCTGCCAGGCTTTTTAGAATGGCTCTCATGTGGGAGTCTTGCAAGCCTGGCCTTCCATAATTTAATTTTTAGGGCAGTGTTTATGCTAAAGAGCAGTCCTGCCAGTCTGCCTCTGTTGAGAGGTCTGCGATAGTGATTTGAAATGGAGGAGGAAGGTGGAATGGGGCTAGAAATGAGCAGACTAATGACTAGGTCCCAGCTCAGATGTTAGTATTAAACTCTTAGGGTTGTTTTTCTCCCTATTCAGTGAAACAGAAGATGCTCCATTTCAATTCAGGAATATTTAAAATTAGGAAGTAGTTTCACTGCTTAAGCAAATAAATGGAAGTGATCGGGGGGGGGGGGAAACCACCCCCTTCCTGGGAACCGAGACAGGAGAATATTCAGGCGTAATTCCAATTTATGTCAAACAACTTGCAACCATCCTCTTGAGTGGCTTTGTAAAAGTGGTGCTAATGTGTATAACCCTTCTAAATTTTTCTTTTTTCCCTTTAACATTTGTTTACCCCTTCACTGTGTCAGTCACAACACACCGCTCTTGAATCTCCCAGCTGGTCTTGACTTGTTGAATTTATTTTATGCTTTCACTCTTCTTTAATAAATACATTACTTGCAAGCAGTGAATTGAAAACAAAGCAAAAGAAAAACTACCATTAGTGATTGGACAGTTTCTTACTTTGTGTTACATTTAACTGTTCTTTTGACAGCCCAGTTTTTAAAGCCAGGTTCGTATGGAAATGCTTTCACTCCACTTGCACTGCTTTTGGAAATAGCATACTGCTTCATCTGTCTGTTTATTTTAGTGCATTCATAACACAACACAGTCAGCACAATGTCTCATCTCCACTTAGCAAAAGATTGCAAAGTACTCCTTGTCCTTTTTTTGAAAATGCAGCCATTTTTGTCAGCACCGGCTTTTAAAATCGGATTCAATAATCCTTTGTCAGATCCAGTTGCAATGCTAATGGTAGAACAATTAATGCCTTATCCACAAAACCTTTGAACTTCGGGCCCCCCTTTGCATGAAGGACTGTGCAGTTGTTGTGGCCGTTACAGAAACGGTCCGCAGCAGACTTGTTGGCAGGTAAGTTTCCCTGCGCTTTGGAAGCGATAGTCTTCTCCATGGTGTTTGTGGTTGGAATCCATATTTGTTCATTTTTCCTTTTTTTTTGCATATACTGATTTAAGCTTTTGTAACCAGACATTTCCTTACTTCTCCCTTTTTTTGTTTTGTTTTGTTTTTTTAATGTAGCCCTAATTATGTCCTGGGGGAGAGCCGGTAGTGTGGGAAAGGCGTGTGCTGTTGCCTTGAAAAATACAGCGAGATGAAATGTCTTGCTTTACTGGTATATCAGAAAAAAAATAAAATTATACTTGATAGAATCTTTTTGAGGAAAAATGTATCCATGCAGCCAATATCTTTGGGAAGATTGTGTCTTTCAAGCAGATTCACCGAAGTTCTGCAAACCGTGTGGTCATTTTCTTCAGTGTGGAGTGAGTGAAAAAAACCCCCACTGCTATTCTGATTTCAGTTGACAACTTGGTTATTTAATTAAAGAAACCTGTAGCATAAATATCTGTTTTCTTTTTAAGATTCCACGTACCACTCAATGTTACGGATTCATGGCCTGTTATAATTCAGGATATTTCTGTGATATCTTGAGTTGTGGTTTGCCTTAGGACAATTAATAATCTACAAATACATACGTGATTTTTATTTTTTTATGACGAGAAGGTGAACGTGGCCCTAACTCAGAGTCCTTCTTTGAGGAGCTGACAGTTGGTCACTGCTAGTGAACTGATCAGTAAGGGATAAACTGTCAGCTTTAGATGGTTACAAGGGTGCCGTTAGCACTCTTGTTCTTTGGGGGAAGAAATCTTGCATAAAACCGTAATAAACTCCGCACAGAGCCCTGCTCACCCCTGTTTTCAAACGCTGACACTTAATTGCTGCGTCAGTACTTTTCCACTTATTCCAAAATAGCTTTTTTTTTTTTAGGAAGATGAGACATTATGCTTATTGTTTCCCCTACATGCACTAATGGTTCCTTGCTGTTAACTTATTGCTAGGCCTGTTTCATTCTAACATCTTAGTATTTTTGTTAGTTTACATGTGAAATGCATCACCCAGTCTGTGCTTGAGCTCATTTTATTTAATTGATTTTATTTTTTTTGTTTTACTAACCTCACTGTTTTTTCAGTTTAATATTGGCTGCATGCTAGTTTATATATATATATACATATATAAAAAAACCCAATCAAGTCTAGCCTGGATTTTGCTATGATTGTGTTTTGGTTTCTAGTGGTGGGGCAGTCTTGCACTTACAACTTACTCAGTATTATAAAAGCCTGACACACAAACAAAATGACTAAACACATTGTAGATTTTCTTTACAAAAAAATCTGAAGTGGTGCTGTCTAGGTGATGGATATGATTGTATAAATAGCTTGATTTTATGCTTTTTACTGTCAATTTTTATTGGTACACTTTATTTTCTCCCACATTGCTTTTTTTTTTTTTTTAATTTATTTTAAACGTGATGCACAAAAGTTGCCCAGCACACCATCAGAAAGTGACCATCCCCGATACCTTGTCCCCCTGGAAAAATTCTAGTCAACGATTTTTGACATTTGTCTTTCCCTTTTATTGGGCATATATTGCCTTTTCAGTAGCATTTTTTTGCATGCATATATATGTAGAAAATTTCTTGCTCATCACATGTTTAAATGTCAGCGGGAAGGGAAGAATATATTATTGGAATATTTTTGGTTTGTTTTCTCTGTTCTGTCTGTCAGGATAATATTGGACACCGCTTACTCCAGAAACATGGGTGGAAGCTGGGCCAGGGATTGGGAAAGTCACTGCAGGGTAAGTCCAGTAGCTTGTGTCTGAACCGTTCAACACCAGCTTCAGTCTTTAACAAAATTGTTTCTGCTTTTTGTTCCTAGATTAGATTTTCTTTCCATTATTAATATAACCAAACAAATGCACTGTTGAGTTTCATATTTAGCAATTTGCAAGTGGAAGCTGCTGCCTCACTTACTGGTACAGGTTAGACATGATGTGTGTGTGTCGTGTACGTGTAAGAATCACCGTGTTTGGCCTTTTTGGAGGGAGGTCAGTTAACTGCCTACTTACTAACAGGTAGTTGTGCAGCTTCTAAACCTATAATGATATTCTGCTGGCTGGATGCTTTGATATTAAAATAATTAAAAATAAAGCTAGTTACGATGATCTGTGTGCATGATTCACAGTGGTGTCAGAAGCCATTAGAAGGCGAGTAAAAGGGCCCACTGAAGACTGAAAGTGGTGGCAGAGGTTCTCATGGATGGGAGAGGCTCACTCCTAGTTTCTCCAGAGGGCTTTCACAGCTTTGACTTATTTCTGTTACCCAGCAGTCTATTTGTCAGAGATTTAGCAAACCTCCTTCAAACGCCGTAGCGCTAGTTGAACCAACGCACCTGCTCCTCGTTCTGTCGAGCCTAAATTCTTCCTGTGACACTAAACTCCATGATTTAAATTGAGCCAGCGCTGCCCAGTTCACGTGGGTGGCTTTAGCCATTTCCCTGGCCAGTCATTCCCGTTCTGCCTACCAGTTGCTCCTTATCAACTGCCTGTGTATCCGGTGTCTGCCCGCGATGCTGGGAGTGAGGTGCTCAGTATTTACAGCAGGCACGAGACCGTGTCCCCAGGCAGTTTCTGTAGCAACCTCTTAAAGTGTTTGAAACTCAAGCGTGCCCTGAGTTCCTCCGAGTAACTTACTCGTGTTCCCATACCCTTAGTCTGAAGACCTGGGAGCTCGTAATTGGACTTCCATGGCCCTACAGTGAGCCCGTTAGAGAGATAAGTATTTCTGTGCTGTGGACTGTCGAGAGGTAACGAGTTCTCTGAACTCTGGGAATGCATATTAATTTTCTGGACTAAGGCACTCTAACTTCTCAGACAGGGCTGCATTGGTGGTTAATGCTTCTTGCTTCCTCTAACATGGTTTCATTGGAAATCCTCTGGTTAATGCATGGCACTCTTACAGTCCTCTTGTGTCCCGTGCTGGTGCCAAAGCTCAGGACGTGGTTGTAGTTGTCACCTCTTGGGCTTCTGCTTTGGCATGGCGTTCACTGGATGTGTAATTTGGTCTATTTTCTCTTTTGGGTGCCCCGTATTGCTCTGTGCGTCACCAGTGTGGAAACACGGAGACTTGAAGGAAGCTAAAGCCCTCTCCCAGCCCCAGCCGGATTCAGAGCACAGCCCCGAGGGGCCCTGTGCCGTGTGGTGTTGCAGGCACTGACGTGACGGAGTAAACTGCAGATTGCTGTACAGTCTTGAGTTTGGGGCAAGAGGGTGGTGTCACTGTGTCCTGAGGATGAGAGCGCCAGGGCTGCCCGTGGGGTTCGTCAGGCATTTGCATTTCGATACTCGTCCAGATTTAGATTTTCCCTCTGTGCATTTTGAAGCGTTGAATCTCTACCATATCTCTTGTACATTATTGAAGCTCTGGTGATTTGAACTGCCTTCCCTCTGTGCATTTTGAAGCATTGAATCTCTACCATATCTCTTGTGCATTATTGAAGCTCTGGTGATTTGAACTGCCTGGAAGCTACAGACAAATCACGGGTACGGGGCTGCGAGGGTTTTCCTGCACCTCCTGTATTTTAACAGAAATGCAGGAGTACAAATAGCCCGTCTAGTTTAACTCAGGTAGGTGCTGAAACCTTCCTAATGTAGGCTTTGCGGAGCGTGCAGAAATTGTATAGTGCCTTTCCCCTCCGGGAAGGAAAGCAGTGCCCTGTCCATCTGACAGACAAACAGCTTCGCTGCAGAGGATGCAGAGGAGTGCTGCTGCTCCAGTTCTGCCTGACATAAAGCTGTCATGGGCACATCCTCTTAGTTACGAGCAGCTAGAGCCTGTGCCAGTGGCATCGACGATGATCATGTTGGGAGTGTTTAATTCATTATCCAGTGACCTTTTTACATGAATCTCCGATCGTCCCAAAATCCAAATATAAACTGCCAGGAAGGAAACATTTGCATCCAATTTTAATCTTATTCTAGGAGTTTGAAGAGTGAAGTCACTTGCTGTGCACTGAGAAGAATGGAAGAGCAAAACAAAAAGAGTTCTTCCTCTCTTCCACACTCCCTTCTCACTCAGAAAAGACCATTTCAAAAGAGATTTCAAAAGAGATTTAAGAATCACAAATGCAGAGCATCTCTGGTGTTAACTCTACTTGCTTTGTGCTGTGCTTAAGCCTAAATCTTAACCAGCCTATGATTAAGAGGTACAGCAGAAGCAAAAACACTTCAAGTAGTCTTTGACTGTGGTATCTGACCTCCTGCAGAACAACTTTGCAACAAACCCTCAAAACCCTAAATTTTGGTCTACCTACATCAAATTGATATCACATTCATCTCTTTTCCATGCAATCGACTTTAAAAGGAAGTTGATGAGTTCAGTGTGATTATTTTTGTTCTGTAGCTTTTAATTCTAGATGTTCATCTGAAATGGGGCTCCCTCTTTAGTTTTGGTGAATCTAACAGTTACGCTACATTACGCTTGCCAGTCATAAATGCTTATTTCTTCTAGTAAGGCCATTATGTTGTTGTTCGACAAGAACTTCACGCTGCAGGACTGTAGTGTTAACTAGCCATGGCAGCTATAATCCAGCGGTGAGAGTGCTGTTTCTCTGGATGGTAGCTGGAGTAGCCTAAAATTCACGCTTGGCAATTGGTGGTGGTAAAAATCTGTTGTTGTAGTACAACAGTACCCAGCGGATTGGCTTATTCTCTGCAAAATTTCAGGTAGTTTTGTACCTACCGGGGCAGCTGCCTTGTGGTGTAACTCTTGTTCGTTATTGTAGCTGGTGGAAGAGCTGAGCCACTTGGATAAGAAAGCAAGTAATCCATGTCCTTAATGACAGAGCTGACATAAGAGAAGCTGTATTCTAAACACATCTGCATCTTTTGTTTTATTTTAGTGGAGTATCGGACAGGGATAGTGCTATCATCTCTGACCATGCAAGTGCTAGAACACTGGTTCGGAGAAGCTCATAATGAATTCAGCAGAGTCATTCCTCTGCTCATCTCCCAGTGTTTTTCACATTTTTTTCCACAAACAACTTATGTTATATTTGGAAATGATGTTTCAAGTTGCTAAAAGCCAATGAATATGAAAAAGCAGGACAGGGGGCTGCCAATTGACAGGGATCTTTTTTAATCTGGGAAGTGTGGCTTGGGGAACCACTTTTTTAGAGAGATTGTGTGATAGTTGTGCTCTAACAGATGAGGAAACAGTGTGTAGACAATTTTCTCTGGAGGGGAACACATTTAATTGATAATCTAGAATTCTGTGGTCTGCTGAAAAAAATAAAACTAGCAAAAGATGTGGTTAACAACACTGTCAGACCTTCGTGTGAAGTCCTGTGCTAAATGAGACCGAGGATTGTGAATAAATCTGGGGAGTTACATAAGAGTCAGAAGGGAACGAGAGGGCTGAGCGAAATCTTGAATTCAAATACTCTAACGATTTCTCTTGGAATAACTATTTCTTATTAAGTGAGAGTATTATTATGAAAGCATTGAGAGATTGACATGCAGAAGTGGTATAACTTTAATCATACATTTGAAAATATTTTTATAAGCTTTTCACATTTTCCCTGTGTTTTCAATTTTTTGACAAGTCTTGTTTAAAAAAAATATAATTGTGCTGAAAACTTCTGTTTTCTCTTTTGGATTTGTGTGTTTAATATGAGGTAATAGTACTCTAGAGATATAGGTGCAAGATTAAAACCAGTAGTTTAATCTCATTTAATTAGACTAGGGAAAACTGGAGAGAGTATGTTTAGGAAAGACAAAGGCTATTAACTTGCTTTGCCAGAAAACATGGAAATATGTGACTCCGTTTGTACTCGGAAGGAGGATAACGTGTACGAGACACGGTGGAATGCCCTAGCATTTCGGAGCGGCTGATATTTTACTGTGGCTCTTCATCATCTCGCTCATTTGAGGAGGCACCCGCAAAGGTTTAGATGGCCCTCAGGGATGAGGGCAGGACGGCAGCGTGTGTGGTGTAGAGCATGGGATAAACGAGGACGGGGTAGACCTGATAGCTCAGAGCAAGCAGGCAGGCTTTAAGGGCTAATTAGTGCCCCCAACTCTGGTATCGCTGAGTTAATTCACAGCCGTCCTCATGGTTATCCTGCTGCTTCCGCTGTCCTAGCAGGGGCTGTGGAGGGGAGGAGGGTGGGCAGCTCTGAAGGGATGGTTTGCTGCACATAGAGGCGATTTGGAGCATGCAGACCGGTTGGTTAGGAAGGTCTGTTCAATTTTTTCTGGTCATATGGAAGGGACCCTCAGGAAGGATTGACCAGCTTTGGTGGACAGGTCTAGCTCATTTTTGCTAGTCGCTCCGTGAACGGGTACTGGGTAATAGCTGTAATTATTCAACACACTTTTCTAGATTTGCCTTTCTGAAGTTCTCTTTTAAGAGAATTTCTTTGACTGCAGCCTTGACATTTTAAAAATTGCTCCAACACCTGTACAAGGAAGCAGTTAAGCTTCCCTATACCACCAGCTATCTCCCTTTGCATGCTGTGTGTAGCGTGTAATTAATTTGATACACTGAAAAGCATTGATTTAATTCATGTTCCCACAGTATTCCCAAGACTGGGATTATCCTGATCTTTTGTGGTATCTTGGAGGGGTGAATCACTCTAGTATTTTGCTATAGCAACAGATAACATATGTTTTTGTCACAGCGTAGCCACTCTTAAGTATTTATGTTGTTGAATCAAGTAGTTTAGATAATATGGGGGTTTTGTGTAGAACTGGAATTGAGCCTTGAAACTTCATGTAATTTTGCTGTTCTGTTGTCTGTA